TGCCTGTGATAAGCTTTCGAGCAGAGGATGCGGAAGGAATCTTGTTACCTCATAACAACGCGCTGGTAATCACAGCCGAAGTGGCAGGTTTTGATGTGAAAAGAATATTCATCGACACCGGGAGCTCGGTCGACGTAATGTTTTACGATTGTTTCGCCCAAATCAACAAACACCTGAATCTGGAGTTGAAACCAGTCGCGACAGCTTTATATGGATTCAACGGTGGAGAGGTAATGCCCATGGGCGAAGTGAGCCTGACCGTAGCATTGGGGACGGGCGACTCGAGGAAAGTGAGAATGATCAGGTTTGTGGTGGTCGGAGCAGAATCGTCTTATAATATCATTTTGGGCCGAACGGGTTTGAATGCGTTCCAGGCGGTCGTGTCTACTTACCACATGACGATAAAATATCCTGTGGGGGAAAAGGTAGGCGAGATTGCAGGGGACCAGCTCACATCGAGGAGTTGCTATCAGACCACAGTCAGTAACAACAAACATATGGCGGAAAGGCAGTCGAAAGGTAAGGAAGTGAGGCCTGATCGACCGGGAGGGTCACGAGTGAAAGAAGAGAGAGGAGGACAAGGCAAGGGGAAGGAGAAGATAGACATACAGCCCGGAGAGGAGATTGAGGAAATCCAAATGGTGCAGGGATGCGATGACCGAAAATTCAGAATTGGGAAAGATTTGGGTGAGCCAATCAGATCGAAGTTGATCAATTTGATAAGGGAATTTACGGATGTCTTCGCGTATACAACGGATGAATTAACGGGGATCGAAGCCAGGGTGATCGAGCACAGACTTAATGTTGATCTCAGTGTGAGACCAGTGAAGCAAAAGAGAAGGCATCATGGAGCAGAAATGGACAAAATCATCGAGCAGGAGGTTGACAAGCTGATGAACGCTGGGCACATCCGGAAGATTCAATTCCCCGAGTGGTTATATAACACTGTAATGGTGTCCAAAGCGGGAGGAAAATAGAGAATGTGCATTGATTTCCGTGACC